TATTTTATTTTCCTTTATGTCCTTGTAAAAAAAACACAACACAGTACAAAGAATACAACATAAATACAAACAAAAACATTGATATAAACCAACATTTGGTAGTAGCAATAGTAAAAATTGCAAATGTTATCTGTTTTTTATTTAAAGGCACTGGAAACGTAAACACGTACATAAGTGTATTGTCATGCATTTATGATTATTCTATGAAACTTGAATATGACAGTTTTCTTTTTTGGCAGTGAATAAGGCACTAAAAAAATTAAAAAGCAAACAAAACTTTTTTTCACTTGAATGCCTACATAAAACCAGAAAGTCCAAAAGATTCTTCTCGTGCATATAGTAGATTATATTCAGCCTCCAAGCGAATAGTATCATCAGTACATATAATATTATAAACCTATATACTAATGTTTTGGTTCTTACAGTCAGCATGTTGCTTAAAGTACACAGATAAAGGCAGTGAAATATTCTGTTTGTCCACAGATTCATATACAAACTCCACTGGACAGTTCCTGAAAGCAGGTTCAACAAAGTTTATCAGTAAACTCAGAGCACGAAAACTCTGGGTTTCCAGTTCCAGTGAATCAGAGTGGCTGATTACAATGAGTTCAGTTAACTCTGAGTATATTCATCCTGAGTTACACACATACAAGAGCACAATAAATATGTAGTCATCATGATAAGCACAGTGTGGGGGGTGGGATCTAGACTTAAGAACAAGTAAGCTGAAAACATATGAGGTAGGTACAGCTGAATGTGTGCACCTGTAACCCTGGATTTACACTACATGCGACTCTGCTCCTCTGGGCTGCAGTGCGCAGGTCGTAGCTGTTCGTTTGCACCCCAATTTTGAAAATAGCTTGTTCCTTTTTCTGTTGGTACGATTATACATATACTCTGGAGCAGCTCCGGCGTCCAGCAAAAATAGGATCGGTTCTAACTTTGCCTGTTCGCCGTCCACTCACCGCCGCTGTGCACCATCGTGCAGAGCCAGTGTAAATACTCATTGATTAGAACGGGCACGTATTTGCTGCGGAGTGGAGACACATGTAGTGTAAATTAGAGGTAAGCTCTCTTTATTGAAAGTTTAGTTTATCAGAGTTGTAAACATCAGAGGAAGGTGTGTTTGAACTGAGGGGGGGAGCGAAGGGATCGTTGAATCCTGTCAGCTCAAACCTTGGCTCAAAGYCWGAAGAGWGAAACTCTGAGCTGAATGTTGGAGTTGATGTAGGTCCCTGATCTGCTGGAGGCACAACCTGAACACAACAGGTAAATAAAACATAAAAAAAGAAATTAGTGTTTAGATATGAATAAGAGACGTGCCAAATAAACATATTTAAATTTAGGTTTCACTTTTGCATTTTGTGTAGTGAATTTGTGTGCGCTTGCATTTGCACCTCAGTTTGTAGAAGGTTCGTGGTGATCCCAGGTGGAAGGGGGTTCACGTTCATGACTCCAGGCGAAGGGGGGCTCACGATACCAGGAGGAATGGGGTTCACGTTCATGACCCCAGGCGAAGGGGGTCTCACGATGCCAGGAGGAATGGGGTTCACGTTCATGACCCCAGGCGAAGGGGGTCTCACGATGCCAGGAGGAATGGGGTTCGTGTTCATGTAACTGGGCGGAGGGGGGCTTATATTAATAGCAGGTGGAACCGGGTTCACGGTCATGTAACCAGGCTGAGAGGGGTTCACGTTGGTAACAGGTGAAGGAGGGTAGATATTTACAGGCTGGTACCCCTGTAAGGTTTAAAAAAAACATGTGAATAAGAGTTGTAATGTTGAAAACATTTAAACAGTGCAAAAAAAAAAAAACATCTATTCCAGTTTGCACTTGATGGATAATGATGTTTTAATGCCTTGTGAGCAATGAGACTACGTTCAGGATGAGGCTAAAATCCATAATAAAGAGATGGTTAGGATTAGAGTTAATACTTCAGTCAGACCATTTACAAAGCACATTAAAAAAATTGGTTGTCAAAAAAAAAAAAGAAATAGAAAACAAGCATCCATCCCAAAAGATATGGCAACAATGAAGAGTTGAAAAGATCGCAACATATCTGGAAAACCTCCTTTACTGTGAAGATGGTCAGGATGCTGCTGCTCTGATCAGTCTTTTCTCTGTTATTTTCTACATTCCAGTTTCATCCATCACCAACACGTTCCCTCAACAATACTATCTTGCACACCTATGATTGCACCTCGCACCGGGCAAAACTCTTTGGCACTGTGTGAAAATACAACTAAGAGCGTGCCATTCACACCATGCTGACCTGATGAAACCACCACAGGTATCACATCTGCACCTGGTTGTTTCCACAGCCTTGTTCTGAGCTGCTGAGTTTTTAACACCATCTAACCACGCTGAAGGTTTCAGCCTTGCTGTGAAGAAGGAGGACACGCCACTCAGCAGCATGAGAAGATGAAGGAGAAGAGGTGTTTGTTGCAGAACATCGGCCTCCTCGTCCATCAAGCCTGATCATGATCAGAACAAAGGAGTTTGCTTTGCAAGGCAAATGAAGCAGGGCTGAGAATGGCATGTGGGGAGTGTGGACTAATCACTGCAGCTGTGTGGTGTGGCCATGCCTCGGCATCACACTGTGGAGGATCACACAAGCCCCACAACCTAGAAAGGCTGTCATGGTAGCCAACATACTAATAAAAACACAGCTAAGACACAACTAACCCACTATGATGTCATTACAGTTATTTAGTGCTTATCAAAACAGCATCATTTAACACGTGTAATGGGGAATCTATTGTGTTGACCTGAACACCTCCTTAAAGGAGACATATAATGTTTTAAATCCAGAGTCTGACCCAGAGTGAGAGGAGCATGAAGACAACCAAATTGTAGTTGGTAAGTCCAGAACTTATTTGGCAGTTTTGTTGCAAATAATTTGATGTAATTGTTCAGAAAACGTCATAGAAAATAGAGAAAACTGACAGGTTGAAAAATATGACCCAAACAGAATATAAAGATATTTATGCAGAACCAGGAGAGACAATTCTACTTTCCTGCACTCCTAGAGACTCCAAGTGCACAAAAAAATGTATTTTTAATGTCAGGTTCTCAAAACCACATTTATATTAAAGTTACTGGTGGCTCCGTGCAGAAAGAATAGAATAGAAATAGCCTTTATTGTCCCGCTGAGGGGAAATTCAGGTGTCACAGCAGCATCAGTACATAGGTTCACTTGCTAGTTATTTTACAAAGTMTACAGATAGTGCAACAAAACAAAATTAACACTGACTAGTCATGATACAACTACTAACTAGACATGGGTTTTTACGATGTAAAAACAAGTGTGCATTGCCACGTAGCATGTCATTGCAGCATGGCTTTGCCTGCAGCAGTGGACTTGCAGAATGAANGTGACGTGTTCAATACTTATTTTACCCGCTGTATTTTGCACTTGAAAGAGAAGAACAAGTGAATAAAATAGAAGAAAGCAGAACATTAAGGTGCAGGACTTCAAGTACAGAGGGTCGACTGTCCAGAGAAAGAGGTGAAAAAGAGAGTCCAGGCAGGATGGAGAGGATGGAGAAAGGTTTCAGGAGTCATTTGTGACCAAAAGGATGGCAGCAAAGGTCAAAGGAAAGGTTGACAAGTGACTAGTGCTACCAGTATTGTGTCGTTCATGGAGACATTGACAAAAACACAGGAGACAGAACTGGAAGTGTCAGAGCTGCAGGCATCAAGGTTTTCTTTTGGCGTGGCGAGGACGGATAAGATCAGAAATGAGGTCATCAGAAGTCCAGCACAGGTTCAACAGATGCGAGATAAAGTTAGAGTCCAGACTGAGGTGCTTTGGACATGTCCAGAGGAGGGACAGTGGTAGAGAGAGATGCAGCTGTCAGCAGAGTGGACATGAAGGTAGTTAGAGTCATGACAGAGGGAGATGGAGGAGGAGGAGGATGACTCACTGTGGCAACCCCTGAAGAGGGGAACAGCCGAAAAAATGTAAATGAAAAGGTTTTGAGTTGTTTCAGATACTGTTTAAGATGAGCCTCAAAGATGTACTGTTTCCTAAATTCAGTGGTAAATGAATTCAATCCAGATGACAACACAGACATCTAGTGGTGGCCCCAGCATCAAGAAAACATCAAAGTTCACATTAGTTGGCATGAGGTTTCCCTCTGCTGATTTACTAAGAATTAAAGTTTTTTCACAGTCATTTCACACAAACACCTCACTCACATTGCAAATTCTGCTTTAACTGGACTGAAGCAAAAGGTGGGTCAAGAAGAAATGTATCTGCTCAAACGAGCTGTTCTCTGTGGCTTCTGAAGTGACCACAAAAAAAWAAAACTTTGTGAGATGACAGAACGACGCAGACACAAACGTCAGGTACACGTTTGTCACACTTTACACATTATGTTCTTGAAACGGTGCAAAAATTTGAAATAAAAATGTGCAAATATCAAAAAAATTGACTGATAACAACTATTCCTACGTTTTTAAGTTTTGCTTTTCTGTTTTAAAGTGAATTCAACTTTTTTTAATRTAAGTAAAAATGTTATAAACATTACAAAAATGCTTTATTTAATACACTTGAGGCGGTATGGGGGTATTTCAGTGCCACAATTCATTGAATATATGCACAAAGAAAAAGCTGTCAAAGTTGAATATGTTTTAAAAAAAACACACCATGAGTGAGAGGTATGTCCTGGTGTGAAGGGTGACTCCATTATGCCATTGTTCTAACTACTGATCAGTGTTAAWGCAACACTATAAAGAGTTGATTTTAACTTGAGTGTTAAATTTACTCTCAAATGTAAGGTGTATTGACACCTTATAGTTTCTGTTGTTAACCTCTCTAACACCACAATTTCCTTTGTTAATAATAATATACAGGTGTTAGTTTTAACACTATATTTTAACACTAAAACTGTTGTTATGTTAATGTGACACCCAGTATTGTTGAATATTAAACACCGGCTTGTGTTAAAATAAAACAAAACAAAAAAGGGTGTTAAAATTTGACACTTTCACAAATGTTATTTTAACACCAGCAAGTGTGGGCACATATAGACACTTTGTTGGTGATGAAAATAAGACTGTGGTAATATGAAACAACTTTTATGACTTCTTTATTAGAATAGGTTGAACCATTAAAATCATCCTTGAGTAAAATGGACCAATTTACTGGAGGATGAGTGCTTGAAGCTCTGAACATGATGAAAAACTAAAGCAGTTTCAACAGAAGTGTACTTAGGTTTTTATACAGCACAACTGACACAAATACCAAATTTGGATACCAAATCAAATCATCCTGACAAAGGAGAAGCAATAAAAGATGATTCTTTGGTTTGTATAATTTTTAAGGAGGCAATCATTCTACAGTATGTCAGGAAATAAAGCCAAAACATCCCTTTAAAAATCTATAGAAACTCCTGGAGAAAGGAAAGTTTTGATGGTCAAAGAGTTTAGTCCACAGTCTTCAATTCATTGAACATTTGTAGAGAACACTTGAAAATTGGACAGTTTGATAAACCTGAAACAACTCTTTGGACCCCACTTTGCATGCATATAAACCTTTCACCTGATCAAGGAATGGTTTTGCACTTTTTAAAAGTTACTTAACCCTAAATCATAAATACATTGGACCTCATGCAAGAACCGTTCGTACGCACAGATTTGTTCGTAAATTGTGCGTACG